GCCAATGACATCCTAACTCTCCAACAATCGCAGTTTTAAGAACCTCAAGTACATTAGCAGAGATGGCTGATACACTTCATCCCTAAGGCTTTGAATTTGCAATGTTCACAGGTTGGAGACCACCAAGCTTTACCTTCAACTACCTCCTGTGCTTAGGGTCTAGCACAGAGCAGTCATCCAATAGATGTTTGCTATCTATAGAATAAAACCTTTAAAGTTCAAGCTTGGGCATATCCGTTCACAAACATTTTTCAAGGTAACACTTTTGTACCTCAGGCAAGGCTCCTCACTGGGTCTCTGGTGCTAAGTGTTGCACTTACTTACATAACTTTGATTTTCAAAAAACATTTAAAAACTTAAAGTATAATTAGTTCGAGCTTTTTGTGTGACACACATTTATAATTCTTTTCCTGATGAGTTAATTTAGCCTTAGAATTAGAAGAGTGAGTCATTGAAATTATAAGGAAATTCTGTTTTGTATGTGATTTCAAATTTTTATGTAGATCAAGACAGCAAGTACGTGTTATAAAATTTATACTATAGGGACGCCTGAGTGGCTAAGCTGGTTAAACGTCTGGCTTCTCAAGTCATGATCTCAAGATTGGGGAGTTCGAGCCCCGCATGGGGCTGTCTGCTATGATCGCTCAGTCGCTCAGCCGGCTTGGGATCCTCTATCCCTGCCCCTCCCCCGATGGCTTCTACACTCTTTCAAAATCAAACATTAAAAAAAATTATGCCACAATGATAATCAAATGCCACGTACAACCTTAACTGAATCCTAAACAAAAACAACAAACAAAAACAAAAAAAAGGAAAGAAGAAAACAGAAGGTACATTTTGGGGATAATTGTGGAAATTTTAGTATATATTCTGTTTTAGATATTATTGAATTAATAATTGTTTTGGTTTTCTTGTTGCTGTTGTACCGAGTAACTACAAACTGTGACATAACGCAATTTTTTTCTCTTACGGTTTTGGAGGTCAGCAGTCCAAAATCAAGGTGTCGGCAGGGCTGCCTTTTTTTCTAGAGGCTTTAAGGGGAGAATGTTTTCTTGCCTCTTTCAGCCTCTAGAAGGCGCCTATACTGCTTGGCTTGTGACCCCTTCACTGTGTCACTCCAGCCCTCTTGCTTCTGCCCTGTCATCTCCTAGCTCTAACTCTGGATTCTCCTGCCTCCTTCTTATAAGGACTCTTGTGCTGACCTCAGGCCCACCTGGCGAATCCAGAATAACCTCCCCACCTCAAGACCCTTAATTTAATCACACCTGCAAAATTCTTTTTGCCACGTAAAGTAACATATTCACAGGAATTAGGATGTGGACATATTTGGGGACCATTACTCCAGACCACCAAAATAATCATAATTATGTAGGAGAATGTCCTTATTCATAGTAGAAATATAACGTGAAGTATTTAATGGTGAAATGTCATGATATCTGAAACCTTATTACTTTTTGAAAATTTACTTTTTGGAGGGCGCCTGCGTAGCTCAGCTGGTTGGGCATCCTCACTCTTGATTTTGGCTCAGGTCATGATCTCATGGTTTGTGAGTTCCGGCCCCTCATCCGGGTCTATGCTGACAGCCTTGGAGCCTGCATGGGAGTCTCTGCCTCCTTCTCTCTCTGCCCCTCCCCTGTTTGCTCTCTTTCTTTCTCTTGAAATATATAAACATTTAAAAAAGTAACTTTATTATTATTTTTTAAAGAAATCTCTAACTCCAATGTGGCACTTGAACTTATGATGCTGAGATCAAGAGCTGCATGCTCTCCCAACTGAGCCAGTCAGGTGCACCAGTAACTGAAACTTTCAAATGGGTGAGTAAACAGAGAGAAAGCAAATGTGTCCAAGAGTGATAGATATATGGGTATTAACTGTATTTTTCTTTCAACTTTTCTTGTAACTTTTAACTTGTAACAATAAGAAGTAGGGGAAATATGTATTAATAAATTTCATGTAAAGCATGTATGTTTTAGATATTTGTATTGTAATTAAGATTTAATTTTAAAAGTTCCATTGTTTTTGGGGTGCCTTGTGGCTCAGTCGGTTAAGCCTATGACTTTTTTTTTATTTAAAAAAATGTTTATTTTTGAGAGAGACTCACAGAGTGTGAGAAAGGGAGGGGTAGAGAGGGAGACACAGAATCTGAAGCAGGCTCCAGGCTCTAAGCTGTCAGCACAGAGCTGTATATGAGGCTCAAACTCACAACCGGTGAGATCATGACCTGATCTGAAGTCAGACGCTCAACGAACTGAACCACCCAGGTGCCCCATCCTCTGACTTCTGATTTCAGCAAAGGTCATGATCTTAGAGTTGGTGAGTTCAAGTCCCTGGTCAGGCTCTGCACTGACACTGTGGAGCCCACTTGGGATTCTTTCTTCCCCTGCCCCTCAAAATAAATATATAAACTTAAAAAAAAGTTCCATAGTTTTTATCAAACTATGGTCACCTTAGACCAGTGGCTTTCAGATTTTTTGATTTTCCAATTATTAATATTTCCGGGGTGCCTGGCTTGGCTCGCTCAGTCAGAAGAGCAGGCGACTTGATCTGAGTTGTAAATTCGACCCCACGTTGGGTATAGAGATTACTTGAAAATAAAATTCTTTTGGGGCGCCTAGGTGGCGCAGTCGGTTAAGGTCCGACTTCGGCTCAGGTCATGATCTCAGTTCGTGAATTCGAGCACCAAGTAGGGCTCTGTGCTTCCAAGTCAGAGCCTGGAGCCTGCTTCGGATTCCGTGTCTCCTCTCTCTGACCCTGCCCCGCTCCTCCTCTGTCTCTTTCTGTCTCTCAAAAATAAAATTAAAAACAAAAACTTAAAATACAATAAAACTCTTTAAAAATTTTTTTTAATGTTTTTAAAATTTATTTCTAGGAGAGAGAGAGAGAGAGAGACAGCTTGAGCAGGGGAGGGTCAGAGAGAGAGGCAGTCACAGACTCTGAAACAGGCTTCAGGCTCTGAGCTGTCAGTCAGCACAGAGCCCGACGCGGGGCTCGAACCCGCGAACCGTGAGATCATGACCTAAGCGAAAATCGGACGCTTAACCGACTAAGCCACCCAGGCGCCCCAAAAAACAATAAAACTCTTAAAAAATTGCAAAAAAATTTCTTCCAAAATATTTTTGAGATACTTTATCATTCTACAAAACAAAGGGCATTTCAAGACTAAGAGGGGCTCCTGGGTGGCTCAGTCAGTTAAACACCTGACTCATGATCCATGGTCAGTGAGTTTGAGGCCCCTGCATCAGATCCTCTGTCCTTACTCGGCCCTCCCCTGCGCTCTCTCAAAAATAAACAAAAAAACCCTATGACACTTCTTTAAAATAGGAAATCCATTTAGTTTTTATAGAAAGCATAACTATGTTTTGTTAGCTTTTCTTTCCTCCTTCAACCCAAATGGAGGAAAGCTGAAGCTCAAAGTCAGTTTGAGGGAAGGCTGGGAAGCCTGATTGTAGCAATATCAGGGCCGGTGATTCCCTCTTGTGGCCGCCTGGAGAATTACAGCCATCTGACTTCATTTCCTCTGATTTGATGGACAATTTCCTCCCAATACTTCAGTCATTAATTCCTGCATGCCAGACATTATTTGGGAAATATTGGTAAAGAACAAAAATACCCCTGCCTTAATTGAGTTTATATTCGGGGGAGAGACAGACAATACACAAATAAAGTAATAAGTGTTGTGGAAAAAAGAGGCATAAGGGGCTTGAGGGCCAGAGTATAGGGAGTAGTAACATAGTTGCAACTTCAAAAAAGTGTAGCCCTCATTGAGAAGGTGACTTTTGTAGAGTTGCAAGGAGGTGAGGGAGTTCATCTACTTAGCTACATATCTGAGGTGAAAGGTTCTAAGACAGAACCTCTCTCACTGTTTAGCAGAAAACTGAGTACAAAACCCTAAGGCAAGAGTTTGTTCATTTCAAGAAACACAGAGCCAATGTGGCTGGATCCAGTGAAGGAAAAAGAGAGGAAGAGACATGAGAGGTAATGGGAGACTAGGTTGCCTAGGGTCCTCCCTGCAGGCCATTGTAAGGGCTTTAGCTTTATTAAATGGAGAGCCCTGCAAGAATGATAGACTCTGAAGTTTAAAAGGACTACCCTGGCTGCTGTATTGAAAAGGAAATGGAGCAGAAAGCCCTCTAGAGTAAATTAGAGGAAAGAGGATAGTGGATTAGACTCTGACATTAGCAACAGAGGTAGTGAGATATGGTTGGATTCCAGATATATTTGGAAGGTAGAGTCAACAGAAAGAATGGATACAGATGTCAAAGAGAAGACATTAAAGAGAACACTTTTCTGAGTGACAGAAAGGATGAACTGCTATCAGTTGAGTTGGGGGAGGTGACACAGGATCAGGAATCCAGTTTTGGACGCAAAGAGGTGGAAATGTTTAGCTGGAGGTAGAAATGTGTGAGTCAATGGGATATGAACAGCCTGTAAAGCCCTGAGCCTGGATGAAATCACCAGGGTGAAAAAGTAGATAGAGAAGAGGCTCGAGGTCACTCCAGTTAGAAAGAAGCTGGTTTGGGGGCACCTGCATAGCTGTCTGTTGAGCATCTGACTTCAGCTCACAGTTCGTGAGTTCAAGCCTCGCATCGGGCTCTGTGCTGAGCCAGATTGGGTTCTCTCTCTCCCTTTCTCTCTGCCTCCCCCTGCTCATGCTCCCCCACCCTCTCTCTCAAAAATAAACATTTAAAAACCTTTAAAAAGAAAGAAAGAAGCTGGGTTGAAGAGGACAAATCAGCAAAAGAGAAAAAGAGGAAGCAATCAGAGAGGCAGGAGAAAAACCAGGTGAGTGTGGTCTCCCGGAGGAGAGAGTGCAGGGGCCAGTAAGGAGCTGAAGTGAGGGTCTCTCCTCAGGCTATGCTCTTGAACTTTAAATTAGGATGTTCCTTCGCTCCGAACCAGCTTCTTTCCTTTTCCTCGGTGACAGAGGCACCCGAATCCATCATGGAAGCTCTCATTTAATCCTCCCTCCCCCTTACAGAGGGTACAAACAGACAGCAAGACTATTTATTGAATTTTCCCAACCAGCCCTCCCTCTCCCCTACTGGCATGAACCCCCACCTCCCACCTTGGGCCAACGGAGTCACCCTGAGCTTGACCCTAGGCTCCTTCTGCCAGGCTTCCTGAAACACACAGCCTTGGCCTTTCTGGATTGCCTCAGAGGCTCTGTTACTCCTTTCCTTCCGAATCTTCCTTCTGGAAGTATGTGGTGTAAGCCAGTTGATTCTCCTCAGGAGGGCCAAGGTAAAAGCTCAGTCTGCTGTAGGAGATGCCACTGGTGTATAATGCTGGAGGGAGGGGAGGCGAGCCTGAATCTAGGTGCCCGCTTCACCTCTGCTCCAGGTCCCCTCACTCCCCACTCACCTCTGGAAACATTGACTTTGTTAGCCGCCAAGATGTCCGCCTGAATGCTATCTATTTTCATGTACAAGTCCTCGGCATTGCTCTGAGGACAGGAGCAAGGGGAACTTGCTGACGTGCCGGGGCAGTCTGCACTTGGAGGCGGGCGGGGGCAGAGGAACTTCGCAGGCTCCCCTGCAGACCGGAAGGGCGGGAGAGGGAACGGAAGGACGCCAGGGGAGTGGCGGGGAGGGAGGTGGGGCTGGATGGGGGAGGAGCCCAAGCCAGGACAGCCCCTCCCGCCGGCCGCCAGGTCCAATCGGTGTGGGGGGTGTGTCCCGGGGGAGGGGCGCTGTGCCGGAGGCACACTTCTGTCAGGGTCGCCGCTTTTTGGGGCCGGGTGGGAGCACTCACGAGGAAGAGCGCGTAGAGTTCCTCTCCCATGGACTTGCGCACGTGCTCCTCCACCACTGGGAACGTCTGCACGAAGTACTGCGGCGGCGGACAGGGCGGCGGGGTGACCGCTGTGGAGTCGCCTGGGACCCGCCGCTCCGCTCGCCTGCCCGCCCGCCGCTCACCTCCAGCGTGAGGCTGGCCTGCCGCTGGCTGTTGCTGTGGTCCATGTTGCCCATGGCGGCCATCAGGCTGTGCACCACGCGCAGGTGCAGCATCTCCTCGGCGATGCTTGTGTTGCTGCGCGCCAGGACCCTGGGCCGGGGGTTCGGGCTGCGGCGACCCCTTGACACCCCCCTCCCCCCACCCCGCCCAGGCGGCGCGAGCGCTCCGGGGCCTGCGGGTAGCGCCAGCGCCAGCCGAGTTCGCTGCACCCCTCCACTACCCCTGCAGGCCTGCACCCCTCCACTACCCCTGCAGGCCTGCACCCCTCCACTACCCCTGCAGGCCTACCCGATGGCCTTGGCCGCCGCGGCCTGCTGCAAGAACACCGGCAGGTTGGCTGTGAGCTGGAGAACCGCGGGGTCTGGCGGAGGGGCGGCCATGAGGCTGGAGGCCCTGCTTCCCAAGCCCAGGAGTCCCACCCTGCAGCCTCAGTCCCAGCGGCTCCCTACCGTTGAGGATTTCAGGCTGCAGTTTGCTGGTCTCCTTGACGGACGGTATCAGCAGCGCCACGAGGCCCTTGAGCAGAGCCTGGCACACGTCATAGTTGACCAGGTCCTTGATCAGCTCGATGGCTGGAGAAGAGCAGAGGCGCTGGGGGGGCCCAACCTCCAACACTCCCCATCTCCATCCAACAAGCAAAGGCTCCCTTGAACCAGGTCGCTTTCCTTTACCCCCATCTCCTTCATGGACCCTTCCTAGCACCTTGTAATCGTCAGCACTGTGCAAAGCGTGTGTGGGGCAAGCTGGGCAGGCAACACCTCACTCCTGCCCTTTCTGGATCTGGTTAAAGAGGAGGAGGGGGCCAAGCCTCATCCCTCACCTTCAACCCTCACACCTTGGGCATAGAGGAATCTGGGTGTCCGGCTGGGAGGGGCTCAGTCTTAAAAGGGAGACAAAGATGGGCAAAGACAAGGGGTGAGAGGGAGACAGCAAGTGGGTGGAGGATGTGTGGCAGAAAGTGAGAAGGGTGGAAGCAAGGTGGACTGAGGTTTGGGGAAATTTTAGTTTCTGACAAACTGTTTATGGAGCCCTTCTTTGCCTAGGCGTTTCACACAGTGTCGCGCTGAAGCTCACCATAACCAAATGAGATTTGCTTTGCAGTAACACTGTGACTGTCAGCCCATTTTACATCTGAGGGAATAAGACCCAGAGGTAAAGCACTCTGCCTAAGATACCACAGCTAGGAAGTGGTAGAAGCAAAAGGAAAGACCTGGTTAGGAAGAAGGAAGGAACTAGAATTTATTGAGGGGTTTTCCTGTAGATACTTTCCAGTCATTCATTCATTCACTCAGCTTTTCAGCACATCTGCACTAAATGCCTGGCACAGCCTCACAGTATGGTGATGAGTGCAATAAAAGGGTCGGTAGGCTTGGAGTGCCTGGGGAGATGGGGAAACCTGAATATTTTTGTAAAGGGAAAGGAACCACAGAGAGGCAGAGCTGGAAGGGGGCCCGGTGAGATGGTAATGTGATGGAACATGGCGCCCCTGTAGAGCTCTCTTTTTAATGCTATCATTTTGCTTTACATATTTGATAGGTCTCTTGTTCAGTACATATACATTTAGGATTACTATGTCTTCTTGGATTTACCCTTTCATCAGATTCCCACTGGGGGCAGGCCTTGGGTGCCTTTTCTCTCTCCTGCCATCTGATATTGGTTAGTTTCTTCAGGATCAGAAAATGGACTCAGTTCTGAGTGCTGGTCTTATCTTTTTGGGTTCTCACCTTCCCTTAGGTTTTGTTCTGGTCATTGCTCATTGCACTGCTCTCATTGTTTTTTTGAGTAGACACCATGACCAATATGGGACTTGAACTGACAACCCTGAGATCAAGAGTCACATGCTCTACTGACTGAACCAACCAGGCACCCTGCTCTTCATTGTTAAGATTACAGTTTTTTTCCTTTTGATATTTATGGTATGATGGGAAATAGATATTTTATTTTTGCCCCTGGTTACTAGCCCATAGCTTGTAAAACCTTTGGGCTCTCCAGAGTGTAAAGAGTGTACTTTATGTGTTAAATGAAATAATTGGTGACTGGGAGTCTCTAGATGGCATCAGGATGGGTGCTGATGAATAGAAAGACCAAGGCATAACTACAGGATTGGAGTTTTCAGCTCAATCCCCTAACCTCTGGGAAAGGGAGAGGACCCGGAGAGTGAGTTAACTACCAATAGCCAATCACCAGTAACCATGCCTATGTAATGAAACTTCCATAAGAATCTTAAGTGATAGGTTCAGAGAACTGAATTGGTGAATGCATTGAGGTGTGGGAGGATGGTGTGGCTGGAGCAGTCCCCCAACCCATACTTTGCCCTATACCTTGCTTCCATTTTCCTGTTCTGAATTGTATCTTTTATAATACACTACTGGGGTGCCTGGGTGGCTCAGTCAGTTGGGCGTCCAACTCTTGATCTCAGCTCAGGTTGTGATTTCATGGTCACGAGATCGAACCCTGCATGGCGCCCCGTATTGAGCCCCACATCGGACTCTGCACTGAGCATGGAGCCTGCTTAAAATTCTCTCTGTTCCTCTTCCTCTGCTCCTACCCTGTATGCATGCATGCTCTCTCTCTCTCTCTCTCTCAAAAAAAAAAAAAAAAGGTATAATAGACTGCTAATAGTAAGCAAAATGCTTTCCTGAATTTTGTGAATTTTTCTAGCAAATGATTAAACCTGCAAAGGAGGAGGGGTGTGGGAGCCCCCTGGCTTTTTAGCCAATTTGGACAGAAGTATGGATAACCTGGGGACCTAATACTTGTGACTGGCATTTGAAGTGATGGCAATCTTGTGGGGCTGAGCCCTTAAACCTGTGGAGTCTGAAGCTAACTCCAGATAGTTAGTGTCAGAATTGAATTGAATTGAAATGTAGGATACCCAATTGATGTCTGCAGAGCGCTGGAGAATTCCTTGGTGTGGAAACTTCCCTCCCCCCATTTGGTATCAGAAGTGTTGTAGTAAAGACAACTCAATGTCAATCCCCCCAGAAAGGGAATTGATCCACATTTCCTAGCCTACCATTATCAGCAGGGCGGGCGGGGCGGGGGGGGGGTGTGTGTGGAGAGGCTTCTCCACCTGCTTACTGCTACTTATTCTTCCAGACTCACCTCAGAAATTAGCTTTCAAATATCTTTGTCTGGCCTGCTCCCCGCTGCCCCCACCCTGTACCACAGGAGGAGACGTTCTACATCTCTGGCCCTACAGCACCATTTTCTCACCATGGATACTAGTGTCATCTGGTAACAATCTCTCCACTACTGTGAACTCCAGTGGACATATCTCTGACTCTGACTACCCAGAGTCTCAAACCTGTCCAGTCCATGAATGTTGAGTTGACTGGATCCTGCATTCCTGTGGCCTAATGACCACTCGGGTAATGGGAGCCTAGGACTGTGCTTGAAAAACTGCCATTACCTGGTGGGAGTTGGCCTCAGAAGAGGCTCTGCCCTGGTCACTGTGGCCCTTGTCCACCCTGGGCCATGGAACTGTTCCTGGCTCTGCTTCCTCATAGGCTGGAGAGCCATGAAGCCTTTCACCACAGCGCCATCCCTCTATCCCCCACAGCCAGTTGAGAGAGCTCTTTGAAGTCAGGACCTGATACTTGCTGGTGAGCCCAGAACTGAGCCACACATGCCATGTATACTCACTTCATATGAGGCAGGTGTATGGAAAGGTGAAGGGATTGCGGCCCCTCCCACACAGTGGGGGGCGAGGGGCAGCAGGTGAAGAAGCCAGGGACAGGGACTGCACGGATCTGCAGAGCACACAGAGCGGGTGTCTACACAAGGCTGCTTGCAGCTCTTGGAAGCTTTATTTGCTTAACTCCAGACAAACATATGTTGCCTAACCGTGAGCATGTGCTGGTGATTTATAATCTTGTCAGAAAACCGTCACTGAGTCACCAACAGCACAGTGGCCTGTTTACCCAGAGGCAGAGGCTGGGGAGGCAGCCAGCAGCCATCCTGTGTCTCGTATGCCACACACTGTACCCTCCTGCCTGGTGCGGAGCAGTATCAGCTGCCAATACCCCCAGAAGGAGAGGGGCTGACCTCTGCACTCCAGGCCTCAGGTGTCCTTGGGCAGGAAGGAGAACCAGTTTTGGCTGGTGGGTCAGTCTAAGGAAAGGAACCAGGAGGGCATCCCCCACATTGCCCTCATCTCAGATCCTGGGGGCCTCCCGTCCATCTACACTGCCGAGCCATCGGGTACACAGAGGCCCAGTCCTGAAGCCCCACACAAAGCCAGTGTTGTCTTGGCCTGTTTTTCCAATCACAGAATCAACGATTCATTCGCTGGCTGAGAAACTCTTAGAAACATCCCTGTTAACCCTTCTAGTGCTTAGCATTCCGAGGACAGGCCTTTTGCAGTAGCCCCTTCTCTCTGGACCAACCTGACTCAGAAACAGCTGCTTCATTCAGAAACACTTTCAAGGACTGTCTAGCTTCTGCTTGCTTCTGGGCTTTCTCTTTCCTCCAGGCCTTCCAGGGTAGCCCTCACAATCCCGTCGGCCCCCACTCTAGCCTCCTGTTGCTCAGATGTGGTTCTAATTCTGAATCACAGAGGCAGCAACACTGCAGAGGGAGAGGGACCAGCGCACTGACCCTCCCTGGCTTCCCCCAACCACTGTCCCACTTGGATGAAAATGTAACCTGGGATGCCTCTGGCTGCTTGGCTAGTGCCTGAACACCAGTCCTGCTGCCCCAGGTATTTTTTACTTGTTCTCTTAGTGTTTGGTCCTGAAACTTTCTTCCTTCTTTTTTGAATCAGTGAGGTTGGGATCTGCATGGTCGACCCCCCTCATGCCCGACTCTGCCAGGCCCTGTCAGCCGCGGCACACCTCGCCTGAGTAGTGTGCTCTTACCAGGCCCGCATGGGCAGCACCTTAGTGCCAGGACACCTGGGAAGAAGACTCGCCTGTGCCTGAGAGAGTTCTACGTGCAGCAAGGAGTGACTCGGTGAACATTCAGCGTGGCAATGAATGGATGAATAGATTTTTATGAAATGTCCCTGCCCACAGATGGTATTCTCTGCCCACATAGGACGAAGTGCTCCAGGAGAGAAATATCTGGTTCTGCCTATTCACTTTACCCTAAATGCTTACCCCTTCATGCTAATGTGTCTGCAACACTTGGAACTCTTTTGAAAAAATGAAGATTTATTCGCTGAATCATTTTTGATTGAGTTTTAAAATTCACAGCTGTTAATGTTTACACGCAAAGCAAAAGTGCCAGTCTCTGCCCAATGTCTCCACAAGAACCACAGCCAGTTATAATTCTTTATACACTGGGCTGGTTCCTAAGCAGAGCAGAGTCATTCGGAAAGCAAAGGGCAACAGAGGATTGCTGTCTTTGGCAGCTTTGCCTGAAGCCTGTGGTGCTGACAATATCCAACTGTCCTAAATTGGATCAGTCACTGATTTATTGATTCATTCATGCATCTAACAGAATATTCAATGAGCATCTTCTGTGTGCCAGCCCCCTGTGCTAGGGCTAAGCGAGGACCGAGACAGCATCCCTGCCCTCAGAGATGACACAACCTAAGGGGAGGCGGATACCGCTAGGGAAACTGGCATGT